TTTCACAACACTTCGGTAAACGGACAAAAATCCGCAATTCACCCACTTTGTTCCTTTTTCGGATACATTTTCCGATTTTGTTCTTGCAAGGCCGAAAATGCAAAGGCTTTTTCTTTCAAAACATGTATTTGGTTAAAAAAAAACGCAATGCCAATGGTATATAACAGCGAGGCGGTATTCCCCAAAGAGTTTTGGGAGTGATACAGAAATGATATTCCTTGGCCTGATTTGAATCTGGGGATGAGTACCTATATAAATGAATTTTTTCCTGCCGGGTTGTGAAGAAACTCTGAATGATACTAATCATCCTTTCACCTGCCCCTTAAGCCACCCTCAGTACAATAGCAGGTTTTTTCGGTTGGGTTTTTGATTAAAACTACTTATTGATTCTCCATCCTCGGNCTCTTGCGTTTCTACATTTGATACTGGTTCCAGTTCTTCAATAAACTCGTACTCGTTGTTCAAGTTGAAAGTGCCTTCTGATTCAGTGCTAATGCTCTTGAAAAGCGTTACGTTTGCCATTACTGTGTCATGGCCAATTGTTATATGCAGTTTACTTTTGGAGCGTAGTGCAAATTTATAAAACCGTATACGATTCATACGAATACATGCTGCGTAAACATTGTGCAAATAACCTGGTTTTGCCAGTATGCCACGCTCCATTGTTTTCGCATTAAATTGTGGTACACAAATACCAACCCGATCTCCCATCGCAGCGGATTGTACAGGTCTGCGAAACATTTGTATTGATTTAACTTTTCGTTGTTCCTTTATGGCAGGTATTTCGACTAAATCATTAACGCCAATGGAGCCCTGTACTATAGTGCCCGTACAAATGGTGCCCTGCCCTTTAATGGAAAAGCAATGATCCGAATACATAACTAGTGGTGCCTCTTTGTTGCGTTTGGGTATTTCAATTTGGGAAACAATAGTGTCCAAAAGTTCCTGCGTGAAAGAAATCAAGTTTCTGTAAATAAACGGGGACGTTTAAACACCTACATACCTCAACATTGATCCTCTCCATTGCAGATACAT